GGGGGGGGGGCGCAAGCACCAGACACCATCACTCAGGCTAATGAAAGCTTGAAAGGGAGCGTTCTGGAAGGGGAGACAGTGCGAAAGGATTTAGAACAGACGGGCCCTGGGAGGTCATAGAGGACTCGGGAGCAGCAATGACATTCTGCTCATTCGGAGATGCCTCTGATTGCCTCACTTAGGACCAGCGGCCACACCTTGGCTCCAGGTGGGCAGCACACCCGGTAGCAGGCCCACCCACTCTTTCCAACCTCAGGAAAAGGTGGTCGGGTGTGATCGCCACACAGGCCAGTGATGCCATATCTCCATGCCCTTTGGTTGCAGGTCCATGCGACCCTGGAGCTGTTTGCCCTGATGGTAGTCTTCTTTGAACTCTGCATGAAGCTGCGGTGGCTGGGCCTCCACACGTTCATCCGGCACAAGCGGACCATGGTCAAGGTGACGTGAGCATCTCCTTACAGCATCTTCTCCCATGTCATCTTCAGGCCTGTCTCTTCAGTTCAGTCCCAAATCCCCCCACGCTCAGAAGTGTGACCCTGGGTGTCCATCCTCGCTGTGCTCCAGCCTCGCAGAGCCATGCTCCAGAGGTCGTGCTGACAGTAGCTAACGTGATTCAGAATGTGGGGCGCGCCGAGCACTGGCACAGTAACCTTTGGGGGAGATGCAGCACTATTCCAGGTTCACATCCAGCCAGACAGAGTACGGGATTCAAACCCAGGCCTGGGGGGGGTCTCCAAGCCCACGCGCATCTATAACCAGCATCGTACACATTCTCTCTGCGCAACAGAGAGCATGTCAAGTGGCACTTGGCAGTGTAAAAAGCACGCACACTTGTCCAGAGAAAGTGTCCCGGGAATCGGAGATCCAGGTGCGCTGCAGACCTACCTCGGTGGTCCTCATGGTGCACGTCAGGAGAGCCAAATCCAGGGGGTGGGTAGATGTGGCAGGCAGAGTGGCAGTTTTGCTGAGCGAGTACCATCTGAGAAGCTGCCGGGAACATTCCCCTTGGGTGCATCCTCCTGGGACCACACATCTGTGCCACTAGCCCAGGGCTCTTCCCCTGGGGCCACTTGGTGTTGGGGGAGGGTGCTGGAGAGAAGGGACAGGCCTCTTGAGACCAGAGTGGGCAAGTCTGTAGCCAGCCCTGAGTCCAGGGGATTCGGGCTGGGGGGCCGGGTGGAGGAGCTGACGGTGCTCTGTGCCTGTCCGCCCCCAGACCTCCGTGCTGGTGGTGCAGTTCATCGAGGCCATCGTGGTGCTGGTACGGCAGATGTCCCACATGCGCGTGACCCGGGCTCTGCGCTGCATTTTTCTGGTGGACTGTCGGTACTGCGGTGGCGTCCGGCGGTAAGGCCTGGGGGAGGAGCTGCTCAGACAGTCGCTATCATGGCCTGGCCTGGACCCCTGGGCCAGTGGAGCAGGACCCCGTGAGTCAAGTAGCGATAAGATCCGTCCTTCGAATTTTTAGGATCTAAGCACTCTCACTTCCCCCTGCCCTTCAGCCACGCGTAGGGGCAGGTGGCATTCCAGCTGATGTTCAGGTGTCCTGATGCCAGGCCCAGGGCTCTTTCCCAACTTACAGGTTTCTGGGGCTGGCTCCCCTCTCTAAGCACATTATCTGCCCCAACATAACAGCAGCAGCGCCTAAAAGCAGACAACTTGGCGAAAAGTCCACGTGGCTTGGCAGGCTGTCTTGGTACCTCCCCTGAGACCAGGGGCCTGCACTCAAACCAGTCCATGAGCCTAGAGCTAAACTTAGCTTTGCAGACTCCATCCGGAATATCTCTTGGCTGGGGCACTGTGGATAAGAATGGGCTAGCAGTGCATTCTTTGCACCCGTCCTCAAAGCTGGACACAGGTGTCTGAGGACCAGATGGCCCTGAACTATCTTCATGCACCCCACTTCTCATGGAGGCCAACCTGTGCCCCCAAGGCCATGCACTTGGCCCCCTGCCGCCCTCTCCCTCTCTTGCTGGGCACTCGCCCACTTGGACTCTGTAGGCAGATGGAGGTAGGTAGCTGATAGTGCTACACCTGCCTCCATTCTCCCTGTCACCCACTGAGTGGAAGTCTTCCAGGACAACCCTAAGTGTGATGTCACAAGCTGGGATGCAATGGTATTTAGTGTTGTGAGTCAGGAGCACCGGGCCCCGGTCTCTATAAGTGCATACCCCACTGAGGAGTCCCAGACAGCGCCCCTCGGGCCCCGCCCCGCCCCAGGCTGCACCTCACCCCTCCTGGCCCCTGTCTCCCCAGCAACCTTCGGCAGATCTTCCAGTCCCTGCCACCCTTCATGGACATCCTCCTGCTGCTGCTGTTCTTCATGATCATTTTCGCCATCCTTGGTGAGTTCCCCACACCCAGGACCAAGCGGTCTCTGAAAGCTAAGTCCTAGTGGGAGAAACATTTACTTTGACAGTTTTGGAGATTCAGAAAGGTTTTACAAATTATGTGAATACCTATGGGTGAGTTTTGTTTGGTCTAAAAATGTTGAGCCTGCATTTTAAAATCCGATTTTTATACAAAAATACAGACTTCTAGCCTGTTTAATACTAGACCTGATGGTACTAGACTTTTTTAATACTAGACCTGAGGCCACATTTCTGAATAGTTGCGTTTACCCAGTGCCTGGTAGCACCTGCTCCCTTTAGACGGAGCACATGTTCCCCAGAGAGCTGCAGTCCCCACCACTCCCTATTGCTCTCCCTCTGCCCACTGCTCTCATTTACATTTATTGGTCCAATCCTTTGACATCTTTTCAACCTGTTTTCCACTACCTTTTAGGTTTCTACTTGTTTTCCCCTAATCCTTCAGACCCCGTAAGTAATCACGTGTTTTGTCTGTTTTGTCCTTTATGTGAGGCTTTCCCCTCTGACAAGGTGGCTGGACAGACTCCCTGGCTACATGAGGGAGGGAGGCCCTGCCTGGCTTTGAGTCACAGCTTATGGCCCCTGAAAGTCCCCATCACTTTGACTCGAGCCATTTCCTTCCTTGAGCGTTAAGGGGCATGTTTTCCCATCCTGAGAGTCATGTTTCCGGGATAAGATTTGGAACGTGGGAACGTTTTAGAGGTTGCCAAGCTAATTGTGTGCAAACGTGATTCTCGGGGAGGAAAGTCCCAAAGTTAGGTGTCTGCTTCTCTGGGAAGCGTGTTCAGAAAGGCGGAGTCCCCACTCCAGTTTGCTCATCCCTCTGCCACCCCTTAGGGATTCTGCGGGGGGAGGGAGAGCTGGTGGGCTGAGGAGGGGGCGGGGGAAGGGCAGGGCGCACCCTGTCCCAGGTGGTGTGTGCTCCTGGGCTGGCTCCAGCGCTCCTCCCGCCTCCTTTCCTAACAGTACTTCAGCACCCTGGAGAGCAGCATCGTCAGTCTGTTCGTCCTTCTGACCACAGCCAAGTAAGCATGGGCCCTGCTTTGGCTCCTGCCCTCTGCTAGTGCCCAGGGTCTTCTCCTCTCCCCGGCCCAGAATATTCCACGTCTCAGCCCACACAGGTGCTCGGGGCACTTTGGGGAATGGAAGTGGCCTGGAGACTTGGAGCCCGGGAGGTGGGGTGGGGCTGGGGAGGCAGAAAAGAGAGAAGTCCTTAGAGAAGACGGAGGCGGGCAGGGTGGGGCCCTGCGGGTAACACTCCGCACACGCAGCTTCCCGGACGTGATGATGCCGTCCTACTCCCGGAACCCCTGGTCCTGCGTCTTCTTCATCGTGTACCTCTCCATCGAGCTGTACTTCATCATGAACCTGGTGCGTGACCGTGCCCCGTGCTGCACCAGAGCAGCCTGCGCGGGGCTGGGCGCCTGGGGACGCAAACGGAGGGGCTGCGTCCGCTGGGGGTGGGGGGCCCAGGCTGCAGGCAAATGTCAGGAGGGCACAGGATGGACACAGCCTTCCTGGCCATCGGCCATCGGCCCGAGCTGAACTGGGCGGAGAGCCCAGCGTGCCCTTGCCCGCTTCCTTCTCGGCTTATAAAACTGCCCAGCCAGGGGCGAGGTGGAGAGGGAGAGAAGGACCGGGGAAATGTTATAACAATGTCTTCACGGATCTGAAGAGAGAAAACACGCAAGTGGCAATGTGTGGCCTTCCTCTGCTGCCCCAGGAGGGCCAGGCAGGAGGGGCACCCCAAGCCCCATTCTGGGGCGTGTGGAAGAGCGCCCTCTGGAGACAGGATACACTCCCGACTCCTTGAGGTCCCGCCACGCAGGGCACACACGTCTCTGCTCCTCCCTTGCAGCTTCTGGCCGTGGTGTTCGACACCTTCAATGACATCGAGAAACGCAAGTTCAAGTCTTTGCTGCTGCATAAGCGGACCGCCATCCAGCACGCATACCGCCTGCTCATCAGCGAGCGGGTAGGGAGGGCTGGGGCTTGGTCCCAGCTCCCCCTCCCTTGCCCTGGGCAGCCTCTAAGCAGGACAGCTTTAGGAGGCAGGAGTCCTGTCCTTGGGAGGACAAGAAGGGGCCCGGCGCCTTGGGATCCATCCTGTGCTGGGCACCCGGAGTGGTTGCCCCGAAGGGGAGGGGTGGTCTGGGCTTGATATTCTCCAGTGTTGACACTGCCATTCTTCCTGTCCCCCAGAGGCCCGCCGGCATCTCCTACAGGCAGTTTGAAGGCCTGATGCGCTTCTACAAGCCCCGGATGAATGCTGGGGAGCGCTACCTTACTTTCAAGGCCCTGAATCAGAGCAACACGCCTCTGCTCAGGTAGGAGCGCCGGCCAGGTGGGGGCGCTGTGGCCCAAGGAGGTATTCATGAGAGGGAGCTGAGTGTGCTAAGGCCCTGGGAAGTGGGCGGGCAAAAAGCCTGTTAGAGACTTTAGTTTTCTTCGAGATTCTTATACACATAGACTGTTTTCACCGGGGTTCTTTCTGCAAGTGACAAAAGTCCCGCCCAAATTTAATTCAAGCTGACTTGACAAAAATAGAATATATTGGATCATGAAGTGACTGACCCAGCTGCTAAGAGTGAGGTGGGGCAGTCACATGTGAGCAGATCCACGGGGTGGGGGGGGGGCACGTGCGTGCACACACACACACACCCCCCTGGCGCAGCCTCAGGGCTGGCCGTGGGATCTCCAGAGGCAGTCTCGCTCTTCTAGACTGCTGATGACCAAACCCTTCTTTTTAATCTGAAAAGAAGCAGGCCAGCCATAGAGACAAGGGTAAGCGAGCTCTGTGTGGGCTGAACTCTCAGCCCATTTGTTCTATTAAGTCCTCTGCTAACAGAGGCTCAGTCCCCATCCAGGTAAGAGTTATAGTAATCCAAGGGGGAGCAAAGGTGTCACTCAGTGTGGACTAAGTGGATTAAGTGTTCATAGCACCTGGAGAAAGGAGATCAAAATGCCTGCAGATGAGAGTCCCCTGGGTGCTGATGTGCTGGGACTCCCAGATGTCCCCTCCCCTTCCCACATTCACCCCTTGAAGTGACCACAGGCAGGTGAGTGGGAGAAGCGAAGCTCACTGGGAGCATTCTGATTTATTTTTTATTTTTTTGCCTTTTCATGTTGCTATCGCAGCCTGAAGGACTTTTATGATATCTACGAAGTCACCGCCTTAAAGTGGAAGGTGAGCACACGTGTGAGACCAGAGAGGAAGCAGACAGACAGCTCCACGGGGAGATGAGGCCGAGAGGCACCCGAGGTCCAGCTCTTTCCCAACCAGGACAGCTCAGTTCTGGGCACTGCAGGGACACCAGGTGGCCCCAGCTCCCCATCTGCCTGTACACGTGCAATACAGTGTCCTGGTCAAGAGCACCGAATCTCAGACCCCATTCGTCACCCTGTGACATCAGGCCACTTATCTAACTTTTCCCAGGCTTGTCTCACCTGGGAAATGGGCTAACGACAGTTCCAACCTTCAGAGTTATTTTCAGGGTTATATAAAAGTAAGGTACATGCATGGCCCAGTTAAATACTCCGTGGTCATTAGCTGGCCTTGTTGTTACTTGGATTTTTGCTGTTCCCCAAGTCAGCCTGGTAAGCAGGGAAGGACTGGCTCCCTGGTCCCCAGGGTTAGGTTCTGGTCCCGGGTCTTAACACCTCTCCTATGGCCCTATCTCCTGGCCAGGCAAAGAAAAATCGAGAACATTGGTTCGATGAACTTCCCAGGACAGCGTTCCTCATCTTCAAAGGTAAGGTTCAACTGAACGTGGCGTCTTGGCAGCTGGGGACAGATGTAGGTTTCCAGAGACCACAGATGAGCATTGTGAGAGCATGCTCAGAGTGTACTTGTGTGTGTGCGTGAATGTGTGAGTGTAAAAGAGACAGAGAGTATGTGATTACCCCAGCAGGGGAAAGAGTGTTGGACTAGGAGGGAAATTGCTAACTTAAAAACTAAACCAAAAGACATTTGTGGACTATTCATTCATTAAAGAAAATTTACTGAATCTGCTAATTATAGAAAAATGAAAATTTCCCACCCAGAGATAACCATTCATTTTCTAATGCATTTCCTTCTGATGTTGGTTATTTTTTCTACACATTTTAAAAACAGTCATGGGATTACATTATATATTCTGTTCAGAAACCTGCCTTTTTATCTGATAGTATATTTTGCAGTGGTCAGCAGCATTTTGTTCTGTTTTGTCCCAGCTCTGGGTTGCCCAGGCTGCCCCCAGAGCACCTGTTGCCGGTGCAGTTGTGTCCAGATGTCTGAGTGTCGCTGGCAGAACAGGCCCTTCCCTTTTCACCCCTGGCATAAATACCTGGTTGCTTACACGCATGAACTCCGTAGTAGGGGATGTGTATGTACTTGCATATGAAAACTTACATGCTAACATCTCCTCTCTTCCAATAGGAATTAATATCCTCGTGAAGTCCAAAGCCTTCCAGTATTTCATGTGTAAGTGTGAGCTGTCAAAGCCCTGGGCCCCTTCCCTCCCAAGTCTCAGTCTTTCCAAGGTGAGAGGCCAGAGGTCAGTCCTGCAGCCAGTCCTGGTTTTGACGCTTCATTGTGGACAATTCCCAACATGTATAAAAGTGGGGAGAACAGCCCAGCCAGTGTGGCTCAGTGGTTGAGCATCGACCTGTGATCCAGGAGATTGCGGTTCGATTCCCTGCCAGGGCAATTTAAAACAAGAAAGTGGGGAGAATATAATGAACATCCATGCACCTACCCATCACCCAGCTTAAACAATTATCCAGTAGCCAGTCTTGTCTTGTGCATCTCTGACCTCGCTCCAGCTCAGTATACACTCTCCAGTCCTGGATTTTTATTTTTTTTTAATGTTTTTATTGATTTTTAGACAGGAAGGGAGAGGGAAAGAGAGATAGAAACATTGATGAGAGAGAAACATCATTGATTGGCTGCCTCCTGCACGTCCCCCACTGGGGATTGAGCCCAAAACCTAGGCATGTGCCTTGACCGGGAATTGAACCTGCCACCTTTCACTGCATGGGATGATCTGAGCCACACCGGCCAGGGCATTGTGCAGTCATTTTAAAGTTAGACATCTCTAAGGAAAAACAAATATTTCCAATACTCAAACCCTTTGTATATTGTCCATGGTCTATACTGACTTAGAATAATCTATAGGTTTTCCTGAAACATCTAAACTGGTTCCCCCACAGTGACATGGAGGGTGTTTTTAGAAATCCATAGCTGTTTCTCAGCGAAACCACCAGTTGATTTAGCTCATATGGTAAAAGCACTAAGTGGAAGGAAGTCACCTGTCACATGGGCTTGTGGAGCTGCCCAGAAATTAACCAGGGGCTGTAGGTGTGGCCTGTAGACGTTCATGCCCGCCTGCACTTTCTTTGACTGTTATGGGCCTGTCTGTTGCAGACTTGGTGGTGGCGGTCAATGGGGTCTGGGTCCTCGTGGAGACGTTCATGCTGAAAGGTGAGCCGGGCTGGGGGACTGGCCTGTCCTGCGGGCCCGCCTGGCCCGCCTCTTGAGCTGCTGCCTCTGTCCTGCAGGCGGGAACTTCTTCTCCAAGCACGTGCCCTGGAGTTCCCTCGTCTTTCTCACCAGTAAGTCTCCGGTGTGGCTTTGCCAACCGGCTTGTCATAAACACTGGCTGGGAGAACTGTCGTTTGGTTTAGGACCTCCTGGCTCTGAAACAGGGAAGCTTGACGAGAAGGGAGCAGAAATTGAGTCTGATTCCATCCCACCCCTGTTTCAAACTCTTCCATGGTTCTCTGTCTTCCAGATTAAATCTCTGTCCTGGGTGTGCTCACATCCCCTGGCCTCAGAGGGTCCCTTCCGCCTTCTCTTTGGCCTCTTTGGCCAGTAGCACCACTTGTGCCCCCCACCCCCCGCAGCCCTCCTGAACAGTGTCACACTCCCAAGTGCCCCATACCCCTCCTTACCACAGGGCCTTTGCACGGGCTGTTTCCTCTGCCTGACTGACATCCCCCCTCCTCTTATATCCCTGACCACAGTGGTGTCCTCACCTGCTCACAGTCTTTCCTCCCATCTGCACCCCGAGCTCAGTTGGAGTGAGCACTCACTGTGTTCACCTCTACATGCCCAGCACCCAACACAATGCCTGGAACAGAAGAGGGGCAGGGAATTCCTGTTGGGTGGACAGAGGGGTGGCTGGGCTGTTCCCAGAGAGGGGGAGGGGAGGCCTCTGTTCTTAGCAAGTTGCCCCAGCATCCGGGCCAGGCCCTCTCCTGGAGCCCGCACTCCCAGCATGGGCGCTGGGTGTGAGGTGACTGTCTGGAGGGCTTGCTGCCTGCGGGGGAGGCTGGAGACCTCGGAAGGTCCTCCGAGAGGAAACTGAGCCAGGCCAAGTGTGGGAGGCCATGGAAGGACCGCTGCTAACGCCTGCTCCCGTTCACAGTCTACGGGGTGGAGCTGTTCCTAAAGGTCGCCGGCCTGGGCCCCGTGGAATACCTGTCCTCCGGCTGGAACCTGTAAGTGGAGAGCGGCCTTCTTAACCCCGTCACAGAGGTCAATGGAGGTGGCCCGCCCCTCCCCACACTCCCACAGCATGCACGCCGTGTCTGCAGTCACAGAAGGGAGGCACAAGGACAGGTCACGGCCTTTCTCCGCCTGTGATTCTGGGACTTCCCGGGGGCAGGCTCTGGTCTTACTTTCAGGCCACCCATGCCAGCCCCTCCTGCACACGGCCCTGAGGGTCCTGAGGCCCGTGGACTCTTCCTGAGCCCTTTACCTCCACCCCACCCCTAACACAGCTGAACTCTTTTCCGTAAAAACCATGATGCCCACAGAGAAGGGAGCCCCACTGCCTCGCCAGGGCCCTCCTCCCCATCCCACTGAGATCTCAGGAGGTCGCTTACTGCCCGTTAAAGTGAACTCACCCATGAAATCAGGCCGCACTCACGAGGTCTGAGAGGGAAACAAGTTAATGAGCAGAAAAGAGTCCACAGGACAGTCCAGGGCTCAATGTGTGTCTGTAGGGCAGAGGGGCCCTCTGCCCTGATCGGGGCTAGCTGATCTCCAGATGGGATCCTACTTGCCAACCCTGCCCCTCCCTCAGGGACCTCATTAGGGCAGGCAGCCACCTGTGTAACCGATGTCTGTGGTTAGACCAGTGCAGGACTTCCCGACCCCCGAGATGTGAGCTGTGATGGCACCTGGCCACAGCAACCTTGGACACCCCAGGGTGGCAGGAAGCTGCATCCCGCCTGGCTGGCCATGGGCCCCTGCTGGGCATGCTCTTGCTTTTGCGGCGGTTGGCATGTGGGACCCTTGGAAGGGCGAGCCGAGACGGGGCCGGGATGCCGGCTGTGGTGAGGGACGCCAGGTGGCCCCATGGACGGCTCCCCCTCTCCCTCTCCCTCCCAGGTTCGACTTCTCCGTCACAGCATTCGCCTTCCTGGGACTGCTGGCTCTGGCCTTCAACATGGAGCCCTTCTACTTCATAGTGGTCCTGCGTCCTCTCCAGCTGCTGAGGTGACAGGGGCAGGGCTGGGGTGGGGACAGACGGGCAGGAGGAGGGTGGGAAAAGCCTGGGGATGGTCTGGGAAGTGACCAGAAGGAGCTAGAAGACTCCCAAGCCTGGGGTCAGAGACCGCAGTGCCCCCTGCAGAAGCACCCAGGGCCACTGTCTCATGTCACCGGGACCAGTCACCTCTCACTGTGGAAGAGAAACACGGCTCGGGTGAACCTGGCCCAGGTGCCGACCGCTGCGGCCACAGAAACGCACGTGGTCACCATCACAAACAGAAGGCACAGCCTCTGAGGGCCCAAAGGGACTTTTGAGGGCCCCCCGTTTGCTTTTCTGGAGCAGCCTCTAGTCAAAAAAAGCCCTCACTTGGTCTCGCCTCTTTCCCAGGGACCGTTATGGGGACTCAGTAAAGCGTGGCTCTGGGACGGTGTCCCTCACAGCCGAGGGACCTTAAGCTCTTCGTCCCTGGGTTTCTTCCCGACTATCCAGCTCCGATCTCACACGTGCCCATCACCCGCCCCGTCGCTCCTGGAGGAGAGGGGGGTGTGGGGTGGGCCNTCAGGAGCCTGGGTTTCTTCCCGACTATCCAGCTCCGATCTCACACGTGCCCATCACCCGCCCCGTCGCTCCTGGAGGAGAGGGGGGTGTGGGGTGGGCCCGGGGCTGCGTCTCGGGGGGAACCTGCTGCCGTGCCCGGTGGTGGTGGCCGGCCGGGCGGACGTCAGCTCCTCCCCCCTCCACCGCTGCCCTCTCTTTACCGATGAGCCACCGCGCCCCGGGCTCCTCTGTTCCCTTCTCTCTCGGGTGCCGCGCTGCCCGAGCCTCCTCGCTGCACCTGTGAGCCGTGGTGAGCAGCCACGTTGCTCCCGCCTCGCCCGAGGGGGACACAGCACGGCTCTGCGCCCCTTTGGGGACGGGCCTGTCCAGCCCCGATGTCCTGGGTGATGGCGGACGGAGGGCCCTGGCCTGCCGTCTGCACGGTGCCGTGGAAGGCAGGGCCGCGGCCGCATCCTGCGTCTGAAAGTCACCCGGCCTCCTTCCCTCGCTCAGGCTGTTCAAACTGAAAAAGCGTTACCGCAACGTGCTGGACACCATGTTTGAGCTGCTGCCCCGGATGGCCAGGTACTACCCTGCCTCTGGGCCCCAGGGCCAGCCGTCCTGCGGCTTGTGCCCCCTAGGGGCGGGCACCTGGGCGGTAGAGGGGGGAGAGGAAGAGTCCCGGAAAGGACTGGAATCGAGGGTCTGCTGGGTCTTCAAGGAGGCTGAGCTCTTGGCCACCACAGGTCTCCCTGGCTCCATGTCCCTCCACTGACCTGTCTGAGCTATTTAGTAGGGAGGGCAGGGAGCTGTCAGCTCACTTACCACCTGTGTCTGCGTTCACAGGTAAGGGGTCACCTGTGAGTCTGCCTTCACAGGTAAGGGGTGAATCTCTGGTCAAGGGGCATCTGTTCAGAGAGTCCTCCTTCGAGCCGTTTTTTACCCCAGACCTGAATCACGAGGCCCCCTCCCTGCAGGCACTTCCCAGCCAGTGAACCTGGCTAGGGGCATCCTCTCCACCAGTCAGCTCGGGGGTCCGAGGAGGCCGGGCTGCCGGAGGAGGCGGGCTCCCCCCGGGCCCTGGTTCACCCTGGCCTCTGCCCCTCCTCCCCAGCCTGGGCCTCACGCTGCTCATCTTCTACTACTCCTTCGCCATTGTGGGCATGGAGTTCTTCTGCGGGATCCTGTACCCCAACTGCTGCAAGTGAGTTCGCTGCGGGGCCCCTGGTCGGCCCAGTCCCGGCCCCTGTACCTCCAGAGAATCAGAGCCCGGGCGGGCACGCCCACCTCCCCGTGGCCCAGTGCACCCTCCTTGGCCTCAGGGTCCTCAGGGGCACCCCTGTCCAAGCCACAGCACCCTTGAAAGCCCCGGGAATCACCTTGCTTTGATTTCAGGGCTCAGTTCAGTGCAGTAGTTAAGTGAGGGGCCTGGAAGCAGAGAGCTGTCTGCAGTGAGGACATCTGAGCAGTTTCCCTGCCCCCCCGGCAGGGACCAGGAGCCACACTCCAACCAGGCCTCCATCAGCTTACTCTTTGGGCCGAGGGCTTCGGGCCTCTCGAGAACCAAGTGTGGCCTGGAGCCTGAGGCCCATGGCTTCCTTCTGTGTCTCTCTAGGGGCGGCTGGGGACCTGGGCAGACACGTTAACCAGGGATGACCAATTAGAATAAGACAGACACCTGTGAGAACGTCTGTGGGGACAGGGATAGAGTGGGGAGCCAGACCCCCATGACCTCTCCCTCCCTT